GGCCACCTGGGGACGATGTTGGAGGCCTCTGGGGCAGTTCTAGACGCTGTGAGCCCTCAAACGTCGCACGGGCGAAACATGTACGCTTACCGAAGGGAAAACTATGTTTGCTTGTTGGGGCCCTGGAGGGCTTCTTGAGGCGGGGTACTTTTCGTCAAGGGGTCCCCAGGGGCCGCCTCGCGCGAGCGAACTAGAAGCACTGTTGACTTGTTACCGAAGATCTTAGCACGCCTCTGGCCCGTTGGGCCGGCGAATTTGGGAATCGCGCTATTCCAGCAGTGGCGAAGCGTCCTAGCTCGCCTATAGGCCTACCAAACAATGTTCTAAGAACCTTTAATGGTTTCCACGAAATGTTCGTAGAACATTTCTGGCGGAGTCTGTCTTGTTTTATCACATCGGGTCTATGGTCTAAGAACATTGTTTTTGTTATTAGAACATTTTTGGGTTCTAAGCACATTTCGTGGTAGGACTACAAGAATGCCGGGACGGTCGGTCCCTGCTCAAGCTATCGCTCTAGACGTCCTCGTGATTCATGTAGGACGCACGCCTTCAGCGACCCGCCTGCCCCATGCCCCTTCCTTCCATCCGTCCTCCCCTCCCTTTCCCGAGGGGCTGCACGAAGTACACGCTGCAGGTAAGAAAGATAAGACCCTACGGGGGCACGTTTGAAGACGAAGAGGGCGGGCACCGAGGGTTTAGGATAGAATCACGTGTTGGATAGCACGGAAACGGATGATCGCGAACATACTTAACATGATTGTTGTTGTTGTTGTTGTTGGTGGTGTTGTTGTTGTCGTTGCTGTTGTGGTTGTTGTTGTTGTTGTTGGTTGTTGGTTGTTGGGGTTTGTTGTCGCCCGACAGGTTGGGGTCGTTAGATCTAGAGTTTGAGAACAGCTGTGGCCGCCAGATCCCCAGGTCCCCCGAGTGTCCCCGAGAGTCCCGCCTCGCGCCACTCCGCACACCGCGGCCGCCAGATCCCCAGGTCCCCCCAGTGTCCCCGAGAGTCCCGCCTCACACCATTCTGCATACCGCGGCTGCCACATACCCAGGTCCCCCGACTGTCCCCGAGTGTTCCGCCTCGCGCCATTCTGCAGACCGCGGCGTCCAGATTCCCTCGGTCTCCCGAGTGTCCCCGAGGGTCCCGAATCGCGCCGACAAATCTTAACATGACAGAGCGGCATTATCAACTAGCCGAACATAGTAGTACAGCACAACATCGTAAGTTATGGCAGAACAGAACATGACACCTCACCACCCAACATAACATACATGAGCATTCCATATCATAGAATGACATAACAGATCGTACAATCACACACACTGACAGACCAGTGCACACCATAGCACAGCATCGCAGCACATACCATTACATACCACGACAAAAAAACCACTTCAGAACTGAACGTGAGCAAACATAGCATTCACACATAATATGGCATAGCATACCATAGCACAGCACAGTCGAACAACGCATACCATGCCACATTGGACCGTGCACAATGTGGCAGCACAGAGCGTAACATGGCATCGCATGACGTACCACCGCATACCATAACACACCATGCCATACCACACCATACCATAACCTAGCGTAACATCGCAGCACATACCACATGTCAGCGTCGCAACACATCTGACAGGTAATTGCATGACAGAGCGCGACATACGATTGTACACCATAACGGCATACCATAACGTAACGTGGCATCGCAACATACGGCATTACGTAATGTATCATATAGAACAGGGCGTCATACCACACCCCATAACATAACAGACCAGATCATACAACACCATACCATGACATAACACAGCAGGTCATACCATACCATACCAGACCATATGATACTATATCACACCGTACCACATCAAAGCACACAGCATTCAACATGATGACACATCATACCATGACGCAGCGCGGCATAGCACATTAAACATGAACTAGTGATAATCGCACCATGGAGGTATTGACGTTCGGGGTCCCTGCAGGAGACTACATGTTCTTCAGACATTTCGATGCTGGGATGTGTGGATGGGTCTTGAATGACTTCGAAGCTGATCGGGAGAAGCCTTCCCCTGGAGCTTGTTTGAAGGAGTTAGGTGAGCACGACTCCTGAACATCACGATGGTAGAATGATGCACTGGTCACTCCTGGGGGGCATGCCTGTCTGAGCAGGAGGATGAGGAGGAGAGTTCAAGATAAATCTAAGTTTTCGATATCTGTTCGTAGAACTAAAGGTATCTTGGTGGTTTTCTACTCGTCGCGTTGGAGTACTCATGGCCGCTCTTTGGGGGCGGTACTCAATGCTGGCGATCAACAAGTTCAGCTGGGGCGCGCTAAGCGATAGCGGCGATCCAACTTCTTTAGTTTGCGGAGTCCGATGCTCACCGCGATATCGCATGCATAGCACTAGGGGACCATATGGGGCCACGAACCGTGTGAGGCGTGTGTGTGCCAGAATGAGGGTTTACGAGAGGGTGGTGATGATGACGATGATGATAACAAAGAGTGCGGATGATGGTACCAGAGGATAACCATGATAATATAATTCAACGCATGATTCCTACTTCCACTGGTGGTAATAGTTCGGCCTCGCCAGCGCAACCATCATACCATAACATATCTCCTTCACTACTGATACTCCTACACCAGCGAGCTTGACATAACACTATGTTTTATAACATCATTGGAGAATTTTCCCATGACGGGACAGGGCATCATATATTGTAGTGACATCAGAATCAGGCAACCATCATTTCTCAGCTAACATATCAGTCGAGCATGTTTTAGAACAACAAAGCCGTAATTGACACACATCCGAATGACATCACACACCGTATTGAAATCTTATCAAACGCGGCGTGCGCGCCGAGGTCAGGCTGGCCACTGGCAAACAGGCGGAGGAACGACCGAGTGGGCGACGGATCGCACGTGACAGGCGGCACGACGCCACGCCAAACGGCATCTATTGTTCTGCCACTACAGTACTATTGCCACTGCTCCATTTTCTCCTACGGATTCTTTCTGGACGGGTTTTGGAGTCTCGCATTAAGCGTTTTGTAGGTCAGTTTTTCGGCCCAGGGTTTGTTTCGTTTTTTTTTTTTTTTTCAGAGGATCTGGGGTCGTTATTCTAAGAGAGAAGATAAGTTGTGACCTGGTCAGAACGCCGCACTGACCGACACCGCCAGGTCACGCGCACATCGTTCCAGTGGGCGCGAGCACCGTTGGGATCAAACGCCGAAGGTTTCTGTGTGGGAATCCTTCGAATCAAAATATTTGTTTGTTGTTTGTTGTTTGCTGTCGTCGCCCCCCCCCGCGACCCCGCCCGCGACCCGCCCGCGACCCAGCCCGCGACTCACCCGCGACCCGCCCGCGACCCGCCCGCGATCCTCCCGCGACCCACCCCGCGACCCACCCGCAACCCAACCGCGACCCGCCCGCGGCCCGCCCGCGACCCACCCGCGACCCGGCCCGCGACCTGCCCGCGACCCGACCCGCGACCTGGCCCGCGACCTACCCGCGACCCGGCCGGCGACCCGCCCGCCCCAACCTGCGACCCATTTGCGACCCCCCCGCGACCCATCCGCGACCGGACCTGCGACCCACCCGCGACACACCTTGGGACCCACCCAAATTGCTTCTTCAGAGTCTCGCAGACTGCCGACGTCCCCGCCGCCCCCTCACTCTTATCCGCAATTGCGGGGTGCTACATATAAAAATGGCGACGTGGACCAGGCGGGAGAGCCGCCGTTGTCTCAAGTGGAGATCCTCCGACCGAAGGACACGCCCGACGGCGCACAACGGCAACGCGCGGCGCCGAGCCACTGCGAGCTATGCGGCGCCAAGACTCTGCGCGATCCCACACACTGGTGGAACAGCAGCTGAGGCAGGCCACGAGCACGCTATGGCAACCAATGGGAAGCCAGCGGGCCAGACGCCGACTGCAAAGCCTTTTATTCCTACGACAGCCCCGAGGCGACGCAGGCCAGGCAAAAGTCGACACCGCTTACGCCGAACACGATAGCTACAAGGCGAAGTAGGCTGTAAGCCAGCTGCGGCGCATACATGCGACGAGCAACGACGGTGTTCGACAGCCACGAGTCGAAGCGGTCCAGAGAAACGGTGAATTTCAACACCTACCGCGGCTAGGAGCTGTTGGAGTCTCTTGGGGTCTCGAGGTCACCAGGCGGTCCGTCACCGCGCGGCTCTGGGACCCCCAACATCAGGGGCAGCGATAGGAGGATAGGCGCTGGGCGCTGGGGGATGCATCGACCCCCAATCGCCCATTGATCGCGGATAGGGTCTGATAGTCCCACACCGCCCAGGAACACGCTGAGTCGTTATCGGGGGCCTCTCGCCGATCAATCGGCGACGTATCGCCGATTCCAGGTCGATGCCCCCCCCCCTCCTGTGCCACTCCCCAGTTGTCGTTGCCCCTCGCAGCAACGCCCGTGCGGGCGAGATCCGCTGCCGCTCAGGCCGCCGTGGCTTCGGCCGTGGCGGGGCCCCCTGCCGCCGCCGCGGGCACTCCCTGCCGCGCCCTCCCTGCTCGGGGGCGGGGGGAGCGGCAGCGGCGCCCCGGCTCGGCGTTGCGCGGTCGCGGCGCCGCTGTTCGGCGTGCTGTCGGCGGGAGCGGCGCTGGCGCCTGGCTCCGGTGCCGGCGAGGGCGCTGGGGGGACGCGCGGAGGAGGAGTCGGAGGAGGGGGAAAGCGGCGACGACGACGAGAGGACGCATGACGAAGGACGCGGCGACAGCGACAAGCAACCATGAGGAGGGGGCGGGGGGGGGCCGGGAGGGGAGAAGGACGGGAAGGGGTTGGAGGAGGAGGGGGGAACGGGACGATGAGGAGAGGCGGGATGAAGAGGCTCAGGACGCACAGGAGAAAGATGAGCAGGAGGAGGAGCAGGAGGGAGGGAGGGAGGGAGGGGAGGGAGGCGGCGGTGGCGACAGCGACGACGACGACGACGACGACGACGACGACGGCGGAAACGGCGGCAGGACGGCGCGGACTGGGGCGTGATGTGCGCCACGGCCGCGGGCGTGCTGCTGCGGGTGGAGCTGTGCGGGGCGTGGCCCCTGGGATTCGCGGACACGGAGGTTCTAGGCGCCCCAGCGCCCCTGGGTAGGAGGAGGAGGAGGAGGAGGAGGAGGAGGAGGAGGATCCAAAGGAGGGCGTCGTGGTTGTCGTCGTTGTCGCCATTGTCGTCGAGGAGGGGGAGGAGGTCGTCGTCGATGTCGTCGATGAGCCCCCCCCCTGGTCCTCCCCCCACTCCGGGCGCGCTGGAATGGACGAGGACATGATGGAGAAAGTTGAGGAAAGCGTAGGGATGGAAGGATGATGGGGAGGAGGGGGCAGTCGGGAGGGGGGGTGGCGGAGGAGGAGGTGGGACTCCTTGTCCGCCTCATCCTCTTCTTGCGGGGGGCCTTGGGCTCTCCCCCACCGCCACAGCCGGATTCGCTTCGAAATGTTGGGCAGAAGGCGCTCCAGTAAGTAAAAGTTCGATGGTCAATTCTCAGGGAGTAGGAGGATGAGGAGCAGGAGGAGGAGGGGGAGGAGGAGGAAGAGGGCGGAAGGCAACGAAGGAAGGACATGAATGTGCCTGGCGCCCGCGCGAGCGCGGCATTTTGAACACGGATTGCCCTCTGATAGTGCACTTGTTGGGCATGTCAAGGTTTCCAGTCATGAGTTGATCAGCAGGTGCCCGGCGAAACGCCAAGCCCTGTCTCCGACAGGTCGTTGGGCGCGACAGGGGAGTAGTTATCCATGCGTGCGAGGCATTCGGGGGTGCTGTCGGAGGAGCTGGATGGCGGAGAACTGCTGGGGGTCCCTGAAGGAGGCGGGAGGCACAGGACCCCTACATGACAGCAGTGCTGCTCCCGGGCGTGACACGCTGAGCGCCGCTGGTGGCCCGGAGTCGGCCGAGGTCCGGAGGCCGCGGCCGCCCATGGTCGGAGGACCCGCGCGGTGTCGGAGACCAGCGCGCAGGCCGTCGCGGCACGGGCCAGCCGCGCGCGCCGTTTTTTTTTCGGCGGTGGCCGAGATGGGGCAGCGAAAAGGAGAAAGCCCGCTCAGAATGCGGCCGGCGTTCTCGGAAGCCTTCCGTCCCTGTGAGGAGTTCCCTGCGTCTTCGGGGAAGGGTTGGAGGACTTCTCGGAAGCCCGGGGGACTTCCGAGCTTCCTGAGAAGGCCCGCCCCCTCTCACTTCCCCCCCTCTCAGGCTGGCTGCCGAGTTCCGGAAACAGGGTTTCGCATTCGGCGCATCTTACGTTGGCGGGCCCCAGCAGCGGAAGGCCGGCAGAAGGACATGGGGCTTACGGAATCGCCCACGTCGATCGAGCATCAAATCGCGTTTGCCAAAGAACGATAAGTTGTATGTACAATTCACGTGCATGTTGTTTTGTTTCAGGAGGTAGCCGGCGCGGATCCAACACAGTGGGTTTCCGGCAGTATATTGTGTGTGATCTCGGTGGTGCGGTCTACGTTTTGCAAATTTTGGTTGCACAACCTACGTTGTGCAATCTTTGTTGTGCAATCCATGTGGTTCAATCCATGTTATGCAAGATTTACTGGTCTTGGGCAGCTGTATGTTTAGATGCTGTTGTATATGTTGTGCAGCCTATGTTGAGGAACTCACAACTTGTAGTGGTCAGCTCCAGCGCTCGTGCAAACCCTATCCACACCCACCCGCAACTTGGGTGCAACACCCATGCGGCGGCGATTGCGATGAGAGCGCATCGGTGCGGCCGCGCCAGCGCCAACAGGCTCACGCGCAGAGCGGCCACCTAGTCTTGCGCGATCGATGCGGCCGCGGTGGCGCTGACCGCTGGGGATCCCCCAGCGCGCGCCGCAAGCCGCGCTGACGCGCGGGCACTTCAGTGCGAGTCTGTGATGCGCACGGGCGCGGTATCATGGCGACGTTGCCTGCGGCAGACACGGTGGAGATATCGATGTTGGTGACGACGATGATCATGACGACGGCGACGCCAATGACGGCGCCGATGTCGACCACGCTGGCGACGATGGTAGTGCGCGCGCGTAGGCGATGATTGTTTTGAAAGACTTCGACATGCGCGCGCGGCCGACGCGCGCGAGCGATCCGCGCGGCATTGTTTGGCAGCGATCGTTCCTCCAGCAAGCGCGCATGGGCCCTCGAATTTTTGACGCGCGCGCGAGAAGCCCACTTGGCCGCCTCTGAAGAACCCTTTGCAACGCGTGCAACGTCCCGAAGAATTAGGAAGAGCGCGCGCGCGTACTTTTTTGAACAATCATGTTGTACCGCTGCTGCTTTGAGCTGAAACTCTTTGAGTTAAAACATGTTTTGGGTTGACGGGGTCTCGATCCATGCATCCGTGCGAAACCTGGGGTTTTCGAGCAAATCCGGCTTGCGCTCGCGACGACGCGCGCCTGTCGGTTCGCCAATTTCTGTTGCAAGGCATTCGGGGGAAAGTGATGACTTGTGATGAACAGACGCGCCCGTGCAGCAGTATTAGATGGGGGCGAGGGGGGGCGATGCCGGCTGGGCTGGGCCGGGGCGGCATGATCCACATTGAAAATGAGTGATGGGGCAAATTCAGATGTGGAGTGCACCACCCCAGAGGGGCGGGGCGATAATTCGCGCGGGGGGGAGGTCGAGTCTCTAGTTTTCTGTCTGGGGCAAAGGGGAAGTGCAACTCACCCTGCCGAACTTGAAGTTATCAACCCCACTGCTCGCGCGAACGCCCCGCCCGCCCATCCGCAATTTGGTTTGTAAAACCCATGCGGCGGCGATTGCGATGAGTGCTTGGCGTTGGCTGGTGCATCTTCGCGGCCGCGCTAGCCCGCGCATGCGCGCGCGCGCAGCGACGTGCGGCGCGACCGACGCGGCCGCTGCCAGCGGGCATTTCAGTGCGAGTCGGCGATTTGGGCGGGCGCGGTATCATGGCGACGCCGACGACGGTAGACGCGATGATGGGAGTAGCGACGACGGTGACGATGGCGGCGGTGGCGACGGCGACGCCAATTGCGGCGCCGACGTTGATCGGGCCCGCCGATGACGATGACGACGTCTTCTCGTCGGCGATGACGGTTTTGGAAGGGGTTCGACATGCGCGCGCGGCCGACGCGCGCGAGTGGCCCGCGCGGATTCACCCACGCGGATCGCGCCCCCCCCCCCCCCAGCCCTCCCAGCGCGCGCGCAAGTGCGCCCGGGTGAGTTCGGCGTGCGGCGCGAGAGGCCGATGGCAATGTTGGAAAACCACGTGGCAAAAACGGTTGTCACCTGACTTCTCTAGAGCGCGCGCGCAGGCTTTTCTCTGCAAAACTTGCGTTGGAACAACCGTGTGTTTTTATGTTTTCGGGGCGCGTCTCCTAATCAAACCTGGAAAGCCTTTAGAGAAAAGGCGCGCGCGACGACGCGCGCGCGCTTCGCCCCCGCTTTCTGCAGCGGATTCTCGCGACAGCACGCGCGCCAGGGCGCCCGGGCGATTTCGACGAACGCGCGCGAGAAGCCCGCCTCGTAGCAGTTTATACATCAATTTGAAAGCTCATGGTTTTCGCGGGACTCTGCGAGCGCGCGAGCGCAGGCTTTGCATGACAATCTCTGTTGCGAACCCGTATGGCTCACGCTTTTTTTCGGCGCTCGATCGCGTGATTTTAAATTCGTTGCGACGCGCGAGGCTTCCAGGGGATTCCGGCGGGCGCAGGCGGCGTGAAGCGCACGTCGTCCCATGTGTTTCAGGGGATCTGCTTGGGGGTAGGGGGAATTTGTAGTTCTTGACAAACGAGCGCGCGCGCATTTGTCTTGGCGGGCTTCCGAAGGGGCGGGCGATGCGATGGCCTGGGATGTCGCGCGCCATGGGTCAGACTCAGATCGCAACTGCAGTGGGGGAAGCCGCGCCGACGGGGCCCGGGGGGGCGAGAGTCTGTTCTTCTATAGAACTGAGAATCTACGTGGTGCAGCTCACCCTGCCAAATTTGAAGCGCCCCACTCCTTTGGTCGCGCGCTCACCCCGCCCGCCCGCCCGCAATTTGGCTTGCAAAACACATGCGGCGGCGATTGCGATTGTTGATTGTCGCCGGCTGGCGCGTCGACGCGGCCGCGCTAGCGCGCAGAGGCTCACGCGCGATGCGGTCAGCGAGTTTGGCGCGACCGACGAGGCCGCGGCGGCGTTGGCCGCCGGGCATCGCCCAGCGCGTCTCGCAGTCCGCGCTGACGCGCTGGCACTTCGGCGCGAGTCGGCGGTTCGGGCGGGCAGCGCATCGCGGCGACGTCGACAACGGCGACGCCAACGACGGCGCCAATGCTGGTCGCGCCGACGTCGATGATGGCGGCCGCGCGCTGGCGATGAGGCGACGCGCGTTTTGGAAGGGTTCCGACGCGCGCGCGCGGCCGACGCGCTCGGGTCATCCGCGCGGTATTATTTGACCCGGCGCGCATCCTTCCCCCGTTAGGCGCTCGCGCAAGGGCGTTCGAATGATTTCGACGCGCGCGCGCGAAATGCGAGCTTGCTTGGTGCTGATATGGGGCAAATCTTAAACGTCGGTGCTTCCCCCGCGAAGTCGCATTTTGGCTTCTCATCGACGCCCGAGGTGTGATCAAGAATTCTGGCCTGCACGGTCGACGACTCGCGCGCGCGCGTCGCCAGGCCGCCACCCAGGCCCAGACGGCGGGCGGCGGCGAACCTGCGACGGGGCGGCGACGTCGGCAACGTAGCCGCCGCGACGCCTCCCAGGCCCAGTCGCTGGGCGGCGACGGGGCGGCGACGCCGTCAACGCGCAGCCGCCGAGCTGCCGCCCAGGCCCAGCGAAGTAGCGCAGAACGCCCCTATGCGAAATAACTTTGTGAGGAGTTAATGTTAGCCAGTGGCGTTCAGAACAGCGTCTATGCGGTGCAAAATGCATGTTGTAATCTATGTTGAGCAACCGATGCTGTGAAGTCTCCATGCATATACGCACGCGGTGTGCAGTGTGCAACCTATGGTGTGCCATCCTTGTGTTGCAATAGATCTGGTACAGCCAGCGTGGTGCAATCTATGAATGCAGTTATGTTCGCGGTGCGTTGTCCACTCCATTGCTCGCGCAAACGCCCCATCCACCCGCCCGCAGCTTGGTTTGCAAACCTCATGCGGCGGCGATGGCGATGAGTGCCTGGCGCTGGCTGGCGCATTTCTGCTGCTGCGCCAGCCCGCGCATGCGCGCGCGCAGCGGCCGCGTAGTTAAGCGCGACCGACGCGGCCGCGGTGGCGCTGGCCGCTCGGCACATCTCAGCGGGCGCTCCACTGCGAGTCGGCAACTTGGGCGGGTGCCGTATCATGGCGACGTCGACACTTGTAGCCGCGATGCTGATGCGAGTTGCGATGTTGGTGACGATGCTGCCAGCGTCGCGTTGAACTGCGCGCGCGGCAGACGCGCGAGAGTGACTCGCGTAGTATTATTTGTCACTGGTCGTCCCACCCCAGGACGCTCGCGAGGGCGTCCGGACGATTTCGACATGCGCGCGCGGAGCCCGCTAGGTAGCATGTTATGAACATGTTGTCTTATAAAAAAGCAAGAAAACGCAGTGGGTCTTCGGAATTCGCAACATCGCGCGCGCGCTTTTGTTGAACATCCCCGCTGCGAGACCTTATGTTTTTGTATGTGTTTGTTTGGAACATCGGTTTGGACATTCTTCCGAAGCCGAAGGTTTTCGAAGGATGTCGGCACGCGCGCGTTCACTTCGTCTCATGTGTCCCAGAGGACTCTCGACGGTGCGAGCGCAAGGGCGTTCGGGCGATTTTGACATGCACGCGCGAAGCCCCTTTGGTAGCATCTCCGTTGTAAGATAAGTTTGAAAAGCCGACGGTTATCTTCAGACTTCGCAAGAGCGCGCGCGCATGTTTCATTGTTTGAAAGTCCGCGCTGCGAGAGCCCGTGCTCTTTTTAAAATTTTCTTCGGGGCATTCGATTTTGAAATCATTCCGAAGCCGAAGGTTTTTTAACGATGTCGGCAATCGCGCGCGACAGCGCGCGCGCGCGTGCACTTCGTCCCGTTTTTTCTGTTGTAAGGGATTTTGGAGAACTTACCATCTCTGATAAACTAGCACGCGCGCGTAGAATTTTCCGTTGCAGAGGATGGCGGGGGGGGGGGGGGCGATGCCGGCCTGGCCACAGTTGCCTCGGCTGGGAGAAGTAAGGAATGCACAGTTGGGATGGACGATGGGGCAGAATCGCATGTAAATTGTAGTACGAAAGGGTATGTCTTTAACCCGGGTGGGTGGGTGGTAGAACTTATTTCGTTTTCTGGAAGGAGAATCGACGTTGTGCAATACATGTTGTGCAACCCGTGCGGTTCGCAAAATACACTGCGCAGTCGGCGTGGTGCAATCTGTTTGGCGCAATTTTTGCAGCGAAACCTAGACTGTGCAATTGGCGACCCTGCGGCGCGCTTGACCGCCACCACTGCTCGCGCAAACACCCCGCCCGCTCACCCGCAACTTGGTTTGCAAAACACATGCGGTGGCGATTGCGATGCATGCTTGGCGTTGGCTGGTGCACTCCCGCGGCCGCGCCCACCCTGGCGCTCGCGCGCAGCGGCCGGCTAGTTCGGCGCGACCGACGCGGCCGCGGTGGCGCTGGCGGCTGGGCGCGTCCCAGCGGGCGCGTCACTGCGAGTCGGCGACTTGGGCGGGCGTGGTATCATGACAGCGCCGACTGCGGTAGACGCGACGATGCCAGTTGCGATGCTGGTGACGATGTTCGCATCGACGAAGGCGCGGCCAGCGCGGGCGCCGATGCTGATCGCGCCGGCAGCGATTTCGGCGCCCTCGCGTCGGCGGAGGAGGTTTTGGCAAGAATTCGACATGCGCGGGCGGCCGACGCCCGAGAGTGGCCCGCATTTGACACGGATCCCCCCCCCCCCCCCCCCCCCCCCCCCCCGCACGCGCGCAAGGGCGCGCGGATGATGTCGGCATGCGGCGCCAGAGGCCCGTTTGGCAGAATTTCATGAAGTCGTTGAACATATTTGTTTTTTGCAGAATTCGCAAGAGCGCGCGTAATGTTTGTCTGGGTTGCGAAACTTATTGTTTTTGGTTGTTTCCAGACATTCGGTTTTGCAAACGCTGCGAAACCGCATGTTCCCGAAGGATTTCGGCACGCGCGCGAGACGACGCGCGCGCATATCGCTGCATTTTTTGCGCAGGGTTCTCGCGACGGCGCGCGCGCAAAGGCGCATCCCAGAAGGCACTTCACTTCGAGTCAGTGACTTGGGCGGGCGCGGTATCATGGCAACGTCGGCAAGTGTAGACACGATAATGACATTAGCGATGCGAGTGGCGATGTTGACAACGACGGCGGCGCGGCCAGTGCGGACGCCGATGCTGGTCACGCCGACGATGATGACGGCGTTCTCGCGTCGTTGGTGAAGGCTTTGAAAAGAGTTCGGCATGCGCGCGCGGCCGACGCGGGAGAGTAGCCCGCAATATATCATTTCAAGCGGATCGCCCCCCCCCCCCCCCCCCGAGCGCGCGCACAAGGGCGCGCGCGTGATTTCGGCTCGCGAGCTTGTTTGGCAGGGTGCCATGCAAATTTGAAAACGATAGTTTTCTACCGTGTACAAATCGCAAGAGCGCGGGCGCACGTTGTCTTGTTTCCCCGTCTTTGAATTCTGAGGTTGCAAAACGAACGATTTGTTATTGTATGTTTGTAAACTGTTTTTATCTCCCCCGCGCCCCTTCTTCCGCCTGGCCGTCTGTTCCATAGCCGCTCTTGCTCAAGCTCTCAGGATGCGCCCCTTCTTCCTTTGAGCTCTCTCAGCCTCTGGCGAGGGAGGGGGCGGGCCGCCATCGCGAACAGGTGTTTCTGTTTGCTTTCCAGCCTGTTCGCCCTCGTCTTCAACGAGAATCCGCCGCGCGGCGGTGAGGACGAGCAGGCCGACTCAGAGGAGTGCGACGCGGAGGAGGAGTCCGAGTTTGTCCTGCATTCAGGCTTCGACTGGGCGGGGTCCGTGGGCGAGGGGGTCGACTTCGGCGCTGAGATTGATTCCATCTTGGTCGCTGGGATCGAGGCCAAAGGACTGCCGATTTCGTTCCTCGAGATGGTGTGGAAGAAGTGGGATCGAGCGTGCCTGCAGACGGGGGGCGACGCGGCGGTGGCCCTCATGCCGGTGCATCCCGCCCCGGGCAAGGTTGGCACGTGGGCGGTGGTCGACCCCGCCGAGCGGGTGCAGCTGCAGGACCTCAGGTCGCACCGGATCCACGCGAAGCCCAAGGCCAGGTGGCAGCTGGCGCCTTTCGACGGGCTCACGGCGGAGCAGAAGGAGAAGGCTGAGGCAGATTCGGTGAAGCTGACCAGGAGGACTGCTGGAGACTCGTGGTTCTCGATCCCCGCGGGCTGGGCCAAGCCGGAGAAGGAGAAGATCAAACGCAAAGGGAAAATATCCTCCGAGGGCAAGGGGTCGAGCAGGTCAAACTTTGTCTGGTGGCTCGCGCAGATCGTGGTGGCGGTCGGCGGGGCCGTGTGGAGCTACAAGTTCGTGGGGGCCTCCGGCCTGGGGTGCTGGCTAACATACAAGGCGTGGAAGTTCTTCGGGGTTGGCGAGCTGGCCGACGACAGCATGGATGTTCTGAGGTCGGCTTTGGAGACGGCTGACAGAGCGACGGATACCTATGATAATTTTGTTGAGCGCTGGGAAGAGGGAGGCTTTGATTCGATGATCTTGGGGGCTCTGGCCCTGGGGTTCGTCGCTATGCTGGTTTACTCCCTCGGCGGTTGTGATATGAAGAAGAAGCGCTCGTCACGGACTCTGACAGCGAGAGTTCGGTTGACCTCGGCACGGCCGCCTCCGACACTGATGATGACGACGGGCTCATGAGGCACCCAGGTATGCGGATGCTTCTTGAGCAACAGGCGGAGCTGCAGAGTCAGATCGCGAGGCTCTCGGCCAAGAAGACGAGCGACAGTGGTGACGAGGGGGGCACGAAGTTTACAGCTGCTCAGGAGGATGAGTCGGTCAGGAGGGGCATCGCCAAGTTGATGGCCAGGCTGGCGGCGCATGAGAAGCAGGTCTCGGACGACCAGGGCGGCCCAGGCGGTGCTGTGCGAGGAAAGGTGGTCTCCTCACTGGACGGGCTGAATGCGACGGCCGTGAAGAACTTCGTCTCGCAAGGGCAGCCTGGGAAGTCGGTCGACCATTGCATTCAGGAGCTGGAGCAGGAGGCTCGCGACCCGCGAGCCGCTATGCTTTCCCAGCTCAAGCAGTATGAGAACGCGGGCTGGAGCATCGGCCCGTCTCAGTCTCGTATTGCTCTAATGGTCCTCGCTAGGATGTACAAGTTCGGGACGAGTGCCAAGTTCCAGGTCCAGCAGTACGTTCGGTCCAAGGAGCTGGAGTCATGCCACCCGGCTAGCGAGATGGCGCTGCTGAAGGTGGGAAGCGCTGGAAGAGTAAGGTGCGGTGGGAGCTCGCGGATGAGTACGACGCGGTCGCGCTGGAGAGCGACGACTGGGCCATCGCGGATGCCGACGAAGAGGTTCGCAAGCGCCTGGAGCGGAAGGCTTTGTTCAACAAGTACCTCGGCAAGGCCTTTCCCGACGGCGGCAAGGGCAGCTCCGAGCAGGGGTTGCCTGCCTCTCCAGCGGCGGGAGGGGTGCAGGCAAGTGCGGAGCGTCGCCGCTTCTGCTTTGTGCTCTTCAAGTACCTGTTCAAGTTCGTGATCTTGGTGACGGTCCTGAGTGACCTTTTCTGCGGCTTCGGCGTGGGCTCTGTGCGCGAAGTTTTTCAGCCTGCCGGAGTCGCTGGCCCGCGTCGTCGGGAGCGTGTGCTTCGGGATGACCCTGGGTTCAACGCGGGGGCCCGCGGGTGCGGAGGCTCGGATCCGAGACCCTCTGTGCAGATTGCCTCGGGCCCCCTTCTGCGTGGGGGGGGACCTGGAGGAGGGGAGCTCCAGTGCGAAGACTGGCTTGACGGTCGGGAGGGTCTACAGGTCGGTGAACGCCATCTCGCGCATGAGCCGCGGGGTGCTGGACGGGGTGAGGGGCGAGACCCTGAGAGGGACTCGTTCTGCGTGGAGGGGGGCCTCGGCCGCTCAGAGGGAGGTGGTGCGAGACTTCTGGAGTCGCTAGCGGGCCCGAGCATCGCGGGGAAGTCTCGCCGAGGGAGCGCCAGTCTTGAAGCAGCTGGCGTCTCGGGCCGTCGGGCGGCATCAGGCAGGGGAGAAGGAGATGAAGGTCAACGAGGTGCCCCTCCCGCCGCCGAGGTCAGCGCCGATCCCTATCGAGACCATGTCACCGTCGAGTCGCCCGTGCCTCAGGGAGCCGATAAGGACGATGGTGCTCGGCGACCGCGAGGTAGACTGGGCGGCTTACGACATGATCAAGCCGTGCAGCGACCCCAGCCTGAAGCAGAAGCAGGTGAAGCTGGATATGCTGGAGAGGCTGGCCGAGTCGGGTATGCTTGGGATGTGCGACGAGGCGGTTGAGGAGGTGAAGGTCTTCACGGTCCTGAAGAAGATCGACGAGAAGACGGGGCAGCGGAGCTCGAGGCTGATTTGGGATATGAGGAGGTCCAACATGAGTTTCAGAAGTCCGCCCTGTGTCGCCATGCGCTCGGCCGCAGCCCTGTGCGGGGTCGACTTGAGTTCGAGCGTGCGCGGAGACCTGGAGGTGGCCAGCTTCGTCGGGGACGTGCCGGACTTCTTCCACAAACTGCTCTTGCCGGAGGGGCCGCGGGGCGACCTCGGCTTCGAGGGCGTGCCTGGGGAGGAGTTGCGGGCGCACCTGCAGAAGCGAGGGCGGCAGGACCTCGTCGAGCAACTCGGAGGTGGAGTTCGAGTTTGCTTGCGGGCGCTGCCCATGGGCTTCGCGTGGGCGGTGTTCTTCGCCCACTCTGCCGTGCAGGGCGTGATGGAGGGCGAGTCTTCACCTGCGCGAGAGGGGCCGCGAGCGTGCCTCACCATGTCTACAGGTGGATCCAGGAGCACCGAGGCGAGCAGGAGGCCCCATTGTGGGACGAGGTCCTCGACGAGTTCTTTGGCACGGTCTCCTTGTCGGTCTATTACGGGGCCTTCCTGGGGCCCGAGTGGCACGAGTGGATCTTCATGACGGACGCGAGCCACTTCGGTTTCGGCATCGTGGCGAGCCGCTCGGATGTGAGCGAGGTGAGGGCCCTCTGCGAGGCGGGCGACAAGCAAGGGTGGTCGACGCAGCTTCACGAGGCCTACTCTGGAGTGGAGGAGGACGAGCTCGACTACGTCACTCCGACCTGGCAGCATCAGGCGAGGGAGAAGCATGCGCGCGATGCTCGAGAAGGGGCCGCTGGCTTTTGCGAGCTGTTCGCTGGTTCGGCTCGCTTGTCGGCGGCGATCGGGCGAGCCCGCCGGAGCTGGGTGGAGCCCTGGGAGATCGAGCAGGGGGCGCGCTGCGACCTGGGTGACTTGGCGAACCTGGGGAGGCTCTTCGTCGACCTGGCCAGGGGCATCTATTGGCTCGTGCATCTGGCCCCGCCCTGCGCTACGCGGTCCCGGGCGCGCGTGCCCAAGTTGCGGAGCGCGACGGAGATCTGGGGCCTCTCGGGTCTCAGCGAGGACGAGCGGGAGCAGGCGGCCAATGGCACATACTTGATGATGATTGCGGTGGAGGTGATTCTGGAGTGCATCAAGCGGGACGTGGGTTTCAGCATGGAGAACCCCGCCTCGTCGATGCGCTGGATGTTCCCGCCGCTGAAGGACGTGATGGAGTCGGAGGGCGTGCGCCTGATCTACCTGGACTTCTGCATGTTCGGGACAGAGTGGAGGAAGCCGACCAGGGTGCTCACCAACGTTGCGGAGTTGACGGCGCTCGGTCGGCGATGTCATGGACGCGCGAGCTGCTGTTCGCGCACTGGGCGGCCTCATCGGTCTCTGAGGGGAGGCGTGCCGAAAGGCATTCCGGAGTATGCAGACAAGGTGGGATGGCGCTGGACCAAGGCGGCGCGCCCTTACCCCGACGAACTGCGCGAAGAGTATGCGAGGCTGGTGGCGCCCAGGGCGCCGCTGATGGCCAGACCTGGGGCGGCGCTGAGGGCCGAGAGGCCCCTGCTGCTGGGAGCGAGATGGCTGGCGCTGGCCGAGGACGTGCCCGACTCAGTGGCGCACGTGGAGCGCTGGCACCTGGTGGTCTCGGGCACCTGGGATCGCGAGGAGCACCAGGACGTGCTGGAGTGCAGGGCGGTGGTGATGGTGCTGCGGCGTCTAGCGCGTTGCCGGAGGAACTGGCACCAGAAAGCCGTCGTGGTCACCGACAGCCTGGTGACGATGGGCTGCCTGAGCAAGGGGCGCTCGTCGTCCTGGCCACTGTTGCGGCAGGCAAGAGTGAGTGGGATCATCCAGTTGGTGCTGGGGATTCGCCCCAAGTTCCGCTGGGTCAGCTCCGAGCGGAACGTGGCGGACGGTCCCTCACGGGGAGCAGCGCTTGGGCCCGACCTGGGCACGATCAAGAAGGGGAAGGCCCAGGCGCGCGGATTGCCGCGGACGGTGAAGGCACGACTCCAGAGGCTTCCAGGGCACCGCCAGCGAACAGGCCACCACTGGTAGTCTGGATTGTGATGCTCACGACGGTGCTGCAGGTGGATGCCGGACGTAAGGCGGACCCCCCAAGTGTGGAGCTGGCAGGTGAGGAACGACATTTCGAGCTGCCCAAGCCTGCGTCCTCGTTCGTGCCGTTGCGCAAGGGGGGTTCACGATTTTGGGGTCGCCACAGTGACTACCCCTTCCATGATCTCGAGCTGCTGGTGAACAAGTTGCTGGTGCACAAAGTCACCGACAGCACCAGCAGGATCTATGCGAAGTGGGTGTATATGCTGCTGCAGGATGTGCGCCAGCACGGAGTACCTTTCGAGGCGCATGAGGAAAGAGATCGAGCACTTGCTGCGTACATGTCATACCTGTGCTACTTTAAGTGGTTGTCACAAATTCATGGCGGCCACTTGTTGTCTGGCTTTGTTCACATCTTCCCCGAGCACAGACACGACTTGCCCCTTTCATCGCGTGCCCTGTCGGCCTGGCAGACGTTCAAGATGTCGCGAGGTGGTGGGTCTCCTGGTCTCCGACCTGCTGGAGAGAGGAAAGGTGATGTCAGCTTGCGTCGCCTTCTTCACGTTCGACACCTTCTGCCGTGAACAAGACTGGGCTTCGCTGAGAGTGGAGAATCTGGCCTTTGATGGTGAAGATCTGGCAGTGGTGTTTGGAGATCGCCGCCGAGGAGAAGAAGTGAAGACGGGCTCGAACCAGGGCCTGAACGTGGGATCGCCTACGACTACGGCGCTGCTTCGGGGGCTCACCGAGGGCTGCGACTCGGGTGATGTGGTCTTCCCATTGAGTGTCTCGGAGTACCGACGGCAGTAGATGATTAGTATGATGAGGCTCGGTCTGAGCCACTTCGGCACGCCGCGCAACACGCGGCGCGTAGCTGCTGGGGAGTTCGTGGCGCACGGCGGGGCGCTCGAGAGCTGCCGGCGCCGTTGGCGTTGGGCGTCGCTCTCGTCCGTGCAGCGCTACACAAAAACGCACGAGATAGTAGAGGCTCGCGCCAGTCTGACTCCCCAGCAAAGTGAGCTAGGACTAGAGTTCTGGAGTGCGCCGCACAAGCTTTTTTTTCGAAGCTCCTGAGGTCGCCAGCCTGTTCCCACCTCGTCGTCTCTGCCGGGCCCCTGAAATACCTGGCGCGCGTGGACCCAGGAAGCCACCGAGGCGACTGCGCCCACCCGTCTCTCGGGAGCGGCCCCCAGGAGACCAGCGCAGCAGTGCGCGACTTTAAACCTGTTCGTAGAAGGCCTAAGCGATAACTTTTTGGGATTCCCCCACCCACCCCAAGAAAGAAGGGGGCTAGCGATTTCACCAGAGTAGGATAGTAGGATTGCGCAGGATCCTGCGACCTTGAGGGGATCGCACCTCGGGGATCGCACTCGCGCTGCCGCCCCTCGCTGCTCTCTGAATGAAGACACCTTCAGGGCCTGGAAAATAGAGTGTATGTCACCGCGTCGGGGACCGTCTCAGGGTTGGCGGTGCTTGAGCTCTGGCCAGGTGCTTTGGACGAAGGAGGGATGATAATGTATGTTTGTAAACTGTCTTTATTTCCCCCGCGTCCCTTCTTCCGCCTGGCCGTCTGTTCCATAGCCGCGCTTGCTCAAGCTCTCCCGCCCAATCCCGCCCTTTTAATTTTAGTCTGATCTGTTAGACCGCCTGCAGCGGTTGAGGATTGTGCAGGATCCTACGACCTTGAGGGGATCGCACCTCGGGGATCGCACTCGTGCTGCCGCCCCTCGCTGCTCTCTGAATGAAGACACCTTCAGGGCCTGGAAAATAGAGTGTATGCCACCGCGTCGGGGACCGTCTCAGGGTTGAGGGTGCTTGAGCTCTGGCCAAGTGCTTTGGACGAAGAAGGGATGATCAATGATCGTCTGAGACTCGGTTCTGAAGTTGCTACGGGACCGCAGTTTTGTCACGGATTTCGGCATGCGCGCGCGACGACGCGCGCGCGCATTTGGTCAAATTCTTGTGCAAGGGATCCTCGCGACATCACGCGCGCGCGGGGGTTTTCGAACACTTTCGACATGCGCGTGCGCGAACCCCGCTGGGTAACATGTGATGAACATGTTGAAGGTTCCTGGTTTTGTTCAGAATTCACAAAAACGCGCAAGCTTGTGTTGAAAACCCGTGTTGCGAAACCCTGTATTGTTGTATATTGTCCGGACATCCGGATTTGAAATCCTAACGGCGCCGCGCGTTTTTTTTAAGGGTCTCGGCGTGCGCGCACGATGACGCGCGCGAGTACTTTGGCACATATTTGCCACGGGCTCATGACAACTAACCCTTTCTACTAAACGAGCGCGCGCGCATAACATTTTCTGTCGAGGATGAGGGGGGGATGCCAGCTCGGCTGGGATGGTACGAGTTTATATTTAGGATGGACGATGGGGCAGAATCGTATGTAACTTGCACGCCCCAACGGGATACCGAAAATTCCGGCCTCGGAAGGGTCTTTGATCTTTTTCGTACATCGGAAGAAAGAGGATCGACGTGGTACAACACACGTGGTGCAGTGGACGCGGCGCTATGTATGTATGTATGCATATATATATATATATATATATGTGTATGCGTGTATGTATGTATGTATGTATGTATGTATGTATGTATGTGTGTGTATGTATGTATGCATGCATGCATGTATGTGTGTATATATATATATCGATATATATATATATATATATATATATATATATATATATATATATATATAATTATCTCTCTCTCTCTATATATATATATATATACATAGATCCCTGGGGGCGGGGCCGGCGGCCCCAGGACAGGTGCCTCGACCCCCCATGGCGGGACGGGGGGGGCCTGGAGCCTCCCTGGAGCAGCCCAGGCGGCCCAAGACTGCCCCAAAAACGCTCCACGACAGGCCCAGCAGGCTCCAAGAGGCCCACGAGGGCGCCAAGAGGGCCCCAAGATGCCCAAGATAAACCCAAGACGGCCAAAGAGGCCCCCAAGACGCTCCAAGAAGCCTCCAAGAGGCCCCCCCAGAGGGCCCCAAGAGGCCAACATCGTTAATTTTACTTGGGTTTTGGACACATTTTGTTTTTCCCGCCTTTTTAGCTTTCCGACGCTCCACGACGGCTCAAAGGCCCCCCGCGGACGCCCCAAGACAGCCCAAGAGGCTTCCAATAGGGCCTCAAGAGGGCTCTGGAGGGCCCCAAGACGGCCCAAGACGCGCACAAGACGGGCGCAGAGAGGCCCAAGACGGCCCCAAGAGGGCCCCAAGCAGGGAACCGCGAACCGGAAATTCGAGCCTCCCGCCTCCACAGGGCCCCGGGAGGCCCCAAAGGGGCCCCAAGAGGCCCCAGGAGACCCCCAAGAGGCACCCAGGAGGCCCAAACGAGGCCTACAGAAGCCACAAAACAACCCCGAGGAGGCTCCACCACGGTCCCAAAACGGCTACCGAGAAGCTGCGAAATTGCCTTCACGACGTCCCCGACAGGCCAACCACGAGATCCAAACCAGCACCCATGAGGCCTCTGACCCACCACCCAGGGCACGGTGGCGGCAGCAGTGACAGCACTTGTGCACAGCATGTTCCGGCGGGAGCCTTCCGGAACACGCTGCAGGAGGAGGAGGAAGATCAGGAGTAGAGAGAGCTGGAGTGGGAGGAGGAGGAGGAGGAGGAGGAGGAGGGGGACGAGGAGGAGGAAGAGGCCTCCAAGACAGCTCCAAGATAGCCGAAGAGGCTTCCAAGAGGGCCCTGGGCGGCCCTCGAGGGCCCCGAGGCGGTGCCTGAGGCGCCCAAGACGGCCCGAGAGGGCCCCAATACGGCCCCAAGAGAGGCCCAAGGAGGGAAACACGAACCGAGAATCCGAGCTTTCTACCCCGAGAGGTTCTCGGGAAGTCCCAAGAGGCCCCCAATCGGATCCAAGAGGCCCCCAAGAAGCTCCCAAGAGGACCGACGAGGTTCCAAGAGATCTTCCAAGGTGGCCCCAAAAGGCACAACTCATTGTTTTACGATTG